TCCCTTCCCTTCCCTTCCCTTCCCTTCCCTTCCCGGGTTTCCGGGGCTGTTCCCAGCCGCGCACCTGCTCGCGGCTCTTCTCCTTCCTGGCCCTCTTGCTCTTGTCGTCCTTGGAGACCTTGTACTGTCTACGGGGTTTGCTGGGGGGCAGCGGCTTGTCCTCCTCGCCCTTGAGGTGCCGCACGTAGGGAAGGACGAGCCTGCGGAGCGAGCGGGGAGCGCGGTGAGCGCCGGGGTAAACTGAGGTACGCGGCGGGACAGAGCCCCGGGCCCGCCCGGCCCCACCTCTCACCTCTCGTAGTGGCGCCGGGTGCAGGTGGCCGCGCTGGTGCTGCCGGGGCTGCCCCCGAGCTCGTCGTACACGTTCTTCCAGAGCCGGCGGCCCGTCACCTGCGGGGGGAGGGAGGAAGGGTGAGTCCCGGCACCCAGGGGTCATCCCGGGTCCTCGGGGACACCCTGAGACCAGGGACATCCTGGGACCCACGGACATCCCGGGGACACCCTGGCACCCAGGGGTCACACTCGTGACCAGCTCTGATGTCCAGGGCGCTTCCTGATACCCCAGGGACACCCTGGTGTCCAGTCCTGATGTCCAGGGGACACCCCGGCACCCAGGGGACACCCCGGCTCGCACGGCCACCACTCACCAGCTCGTAGGCTCCCAGCTTTTCCACAGCCTTGTAGATCTTCCAGAGGTTAACTAGGAATAAAGGGGAGATGCTGAGGCTCAGGAAGACACGGAACCTGAACACGGCCCCCACCCGCAGTGCGCTGTCCCCTGTCACCGGGGGCGGGACATACTCTGCTTGAAGCCGAGATGCGGGATCCTCTCGATGGGCGTGTGCCGCTCCTTCATGAACTTGTAGAGGCTGACAAGGAAAGCCTCCTCCTCCTCCTTATCCTTGTCCTCCTTGTCCTTGTCCTCCTTGTCCTTGTTCTCCGTGTCCTTGTTCCCACCTTCTCCCACCGCCTCGTCCCTCTCGGCGCCATCCCCGGCCTCCGGCGCGTCCTGCGGGACACGCGGCTGAGTTTTGGGGGAGCTGCGACCCGAAATCCGCCCCCCCCCCGCAGCCCGGCGGGGTTCAGGGAGCTCCGGGCCTGTTCCTCGTTCAGGGAGATCCGGGCCCGTTCCCCTTTCTGGGAGCCCCGGGCCCATTCCGTGTTCTGAGAGCCCAGGGCTCGATCCTCGTTCAGGGAGCTCCGGGCCTGTTTCATGTCCAGAGAGCCCCGAGCCCGTTCTCTTTTCGAGGAGCTCTGGGCCCGTTGCCCGTTCCCTATTAGCCCCGTTCCTTGTAAGCCCCATTCCCCGTTAGCCCCATACCCCGTTACCCATTCCCTCTCCCCCTTAGCCCCATTCCCTGTTCCCCGTTCCCCGTTCGCCTCATTCCATTCCCCGTTAGCCCCGTTCCCCCTTAGCCCCATTCCCTGTTCCCCGTTCCCGTTCCCCGTTCGCCTCATTCCATTCCTCGTTAGCCCCGTTCCCCGTTAGCCCCATTCCCGTTCCCTGTTCCCCATTCCCATTCCCTGTTCCCCGTTCAGGGAGCCCTGTTCCCGTTCCCCGTTAGCCCC